ATCTTAAAAGGTCTATGTCTCTGAGGGAAAGCTTTGCTGAGTGTGTGTGTCTTGGTTGATGGTAATTTTCCTTCCAGACTCATAATACATCACATCATGTATTCCTGGACTGTAGGCTTGCATGAGAAGTTTATTAGCCTAAAAAATCTTCCTTAAATATGACTCAGTGCTTTTTCTCCAACAGATTTTAAAATCCTTTCTTTGTTCTACCCTTTGGACAGCATGATTGTAACATGCTACAGTGAGAATCTTTTCTGGTCATGTCTATTAAGTTTCCTGCACATGGTTGTGTGTGTCTCTCCTATGATTTAAGGGTGTTTTCTGCTATAATTTCATTGAGTTTGTTTGCAGGTCCTTAATCTTTATTGCCTCCCCTTCAGATACGTCATTGGTATGAATGCTTAATCACCTAATGGTATTCAAAATTGTTGAACAGTTTTGTTTTTTCTTTTTTGTCATTTTTGTCTGAAAGAGATAATTCAAAGACTTTATCTTCATGTTCTGATATTCTTTAGAACACTTAACCTAGACTTTTATTGATGATTTTTAACTAAATTTTTCATTTGGCTTGCTGAGCTCTTTATTTTCAGGATTCTTTTTGGAAGTATCTGCTGCTGAATTTCTCATTCACATCCTGCATTTTACTCCTAAGCTCACCTAACTGTCAGTCTGTTCTCTCTTGGATGCCACTGAGGCTGTTAAACATCATTGCTTTGAACTCTATCAGGCATTTTGACTATTTTGATATTTTGGAATCTGTTGGCAGAGAGCTGTATCCTTGGGGGTGTTCCACTGCCTTGTTTGTACCTTGCATGCCTGTGCTGAGGTTAGTGCACCTACTGGAACTCGTGTAAGTACCTTTTTTTAGAAGACCTTCTCAGGGAGGCAGCTGCCCCCTGAAGATGTGTGTTTGGTTATACTCTGTCATGCAACGCTGAATTTTTTCTCTGCTGGGCTCCACAGTGTGATTAGTGAGTCTGGGTATGGTGCATCGGAGTCAGAGACCTGCTGTCTCTGTGGGCCCCACAGAACAGTTCAGGCAGGAGCAGCACACAAAGCAGAGTATAGGGCACAGCCTGTGTGGCTACTCCTGCCATGAAATTGGCGGTCCCCATCGGGTGACAGAGGTTTCTTCAGCCACTTCTGATGTTGGCTTGTACCCTATAGAGGTCTGTGGCACTGGCACATGTGCCCGCGGGAGTGCAGATGAAGTCTGTACCCTCCAATTAGGCAGCGGGGTGCAGATCAAGGTACTTTACAGGAGCAGGTGGGGGCGGGAAGGCACTCACAGCTACCCTGGAGACCTGAGAAGAGGGTGGGTGAGGTCAGGGGCAGGTCAGGTTACTATGGATAAGCAGTGGGGCAGGGAGCAGCCTGTCCTGACGGCCAGGGCCGCCAAAGCACTTCCTCAGAGTATATGCTGCCTTTCTGCCTCTCAGAAAGTGCATACTTTTACTTAAATGAATAGCATATCTTGTTACTAATTGTCCAGGTAAATCTTTGAATATGATGCATGTAATACAGATTATTTGCAATATCCATTATTTTATCCATTCTTTTCACAGCCACAGTTTAACGTAAAATTGAAATTCAGCCAATAATTCCAGGGTGACAGTTTTATCTACAAAGCCCCCATTTCTAATTCAACTAATTTATTTAATGGAATGATTTAAATTACTTGTTCAAACTGATCTAAGTAACATTCCAAAAGACAAAAACACCCATTCAAATTTGTTTTAATAATAGACGCCATTGCAGTTTTTAAAGCAATAAATATTGACTTCAAATGTGTATTAATTGTACAGTTTCTCATTAAAAAGATTCCAGGAAGAAAGCAATGTAATCACTGTGAAAATGTAAACTCAGAAAAAGCTGCCACTCTATATACAATAGTACACAAATATGAAGACCTCAAGGAAAACGCTTAGAACATGAAATGTTCTACGTGAAAACTCTGAAGAAATAAAGATGCAAGAGGGCACAGTTGACACTCAAGTGATGCCGTGACCCTCGCTTCATGTGATTTCCAGGGCTTCTCCTACAAACAGTTCCGGAAACCCTGCGATTTTCTTTATTGTGAAGGCCAAGATGCCAAAGATTGAACACACTGTACTTTTTCGGGGAAGAGAAAGTATGATTTATGAGAGAGAAATAAAAGTCCAAGAAACCATTCAATAAATTATTCAATTTTTAGACCAACCTGATTTAGAGCAAACTCCCCTGCTTCCTGGAGCAGAGGGAGGCTCAGGGGAGCACCTGGGCTTCCTCAGCTGTGCTTAGGGATTTGTGGGATCAGCCTCGCACCCAGCCTGTTCACAACAGGGTAACAAGGAGCCTCTCTCAGGGTAGGGTGTACACCACTGGTGGTGTTCGGGACAGCCAATCGGATGCACTCGATGTTTTAAAACTTATTTGAACTCTTTATCTTAATGTACATGAGGATCTGTATCTAGGACAGCAATGAAAAGCTGACAGTGGCAATTTCTCAGGAAAAACCGAGAAGCACCGCTGGATCTTTGCTCTCCAGCACCTCTTTGGACAACTGCAAAGCCATGAAGCGGCCTGTTCGAGGGCCTGATGTGGCAGCAGAGACTCAGGTTTCATGTGGACTAGGTCAGGATGACAAGAAAAAGTGAAGTGAGATTCAAAAGTACTTCACATCCTGTGAGAATATATTAAGAGCTCAATAATTGCTGCTGCTATTTTTCCTTCTGATTATTGCCATCTAATCACCATGCTAATAAGCCAAGTACACTCAACCCTAGCACAAAGGAAGTTCCAAGCACAGCAAAGCCATCTTTTACTTTCTAGTGCGTCAGCTGCAGGTGCGGGGGTGCACACCTGTAACCCCAACGCTCCAGGAGACTCAGGGGCAAAGGCTGCAAGTTCTGACACCACCTGGAAAACAGAGTGCCTCAGTGAGACCCCGACTCAAAACAAAAAAGAAAAGTGGGCTGGATGAAGATGCAGCTCAGCGTGAAGCCCTGGTTTCAAGCTTCAGTGGCTCCAACAAGCAAACAAACAAAAAAGAAGACAAATAAATGAAATTAGAAAGGGAACTGGGAGGAGAGAGGTCACAGATAAAACAGGCCAGGGTGATGCAAGTGGCTACAAAACCTGCATCCTCAGATCGCTTAGTGGGATGCAGTGACACTGGGCTCACTTGACTCTGCCTATGAGATTCGGGAAGTTATCACACCAGTGAGCAGCCCTACGTTACCCTTAAACACGACGTTTCAAAATAAAAAACACACAAAACAAACAAACAAAAAAAAATAGCCTTTTGTTTCTGTTTTTAAAATACCATGATGTAATGCACTCATTGCAACATAAGGAAAGTCTAAAACTTTGTCCTATACTTTGCCAACTTCTTAACGCTTTGTATATAAAATAAATCTTTTCCTGTCTTTTCCCAAAGAGAAAAAGGGCAATACTCATTTAATAGCATTGCACAGACAGTTCCCTCTTCATAGCCTGCTATGTGTTTCCCATTTAACTGCAATGTCAGTTAGTACTTTCCTGACAATAGTTGTTCTTCAGAAAATACATATTCAGTATAAATGAATAACTTTGGTCTTTAAAATATTTTAAGTTTCCTCTACCAACATAGAAAGGAGTTTTAATATTTTGATTGCTATCACAAATTAACCAGAATTTTCTTTAACCCACAGGCAATGAAAGGCTCCTACCTATTTGATCAAAAGGCAGATGACATCAAACTGAAACCCCCCACATCTTTAGTCATGGTGGGACTGGACTCCAGGGGGCAGTGGCACCTCTGCCCAGGAGCCAGCAGGACAGGCCACATGACAGGGACACGAGAGTCACGAGGCAGCGGAGGCAGCCGAGCGGCACTGTCACAGTGCACCAAGAACCTCTAACCCAGGAGGCGCAGGTGTAAAGAGTGACAGTTCTGTGATGTGGAAAGTAGCTTCTTGGGGTGAGGACTCCAGATAATCAGCACTCACGTCTGCAGACCAGCCCACTGCCCCATTCCTGAATAACCTCTCAGCTCTGTCAAAATCCAGTGAGTCCGCCTTCATCCAGGATGCCCTGGGTTAAGAAGTCCTCTGCCTATTTGGATCTTTGGCTTTCTCTGTGTGTACCTTTCCATCGCCCACTACAAAACACTCTCATCAGTAATTTTATAAAACAATGAGCTGGGCGTGATGAACCATGACTGTTACCCCAACACTTCTGAGGCTGAGGCAGGAGGAGCCTCGTGACTACCAGTCCAGCCTGGGTTACATAGTGAGACCCTGGCTCAGAAAACTGAAATGCTAAGCGATACCTAATCCAGGATCTAACATTTTAAACTTAGCAGCATTTTTCTTAGTCCCAAATAAAAAAAGGTAAAATGTCTTCTGAGACCTAAAAGAAGGATATATATATATATATATATATATATATATATATAATACACATTTGCAGTATTTTTTTCTGAAAAAGCACTCATTTAATATATTCACCAAAAGCTTATCAAACTGAATTAAATTGAAAATTAAAAGCAGCAATTAAGTTTTTGCTGCTTTTAATTTTCTTAAGTCATAGAAAACAAGCTATAAAACTCAGATAACACCTCACAACACAAAGTTAGACTCACTTGCTAATCATAAATGATACATACTATTATGAATTTATAATAACAAAGCTCATTATAAAATCAAATGGCCCACTTGTAGAACCAGTTCAAGTTTTACATATCTCTCATCCACAGAAAAGAAGAACTAGCATATGGCCATGAGCAGGGTGCAAACTGAACACAGATCCGAGCGTCCTCCTCACCCACTGCCTCTCGGCCAGCCCCGTGATCCCGTCTTCCCTCCTCATCCCTCCACTGCAAGCCTTGTTGAGAGGAATTCAGTGCTGGCTCAGGCAGTATCTGTGACTACAGTGAACTCTACACATTCCTAAGTCTTGCAATCACAAGCAGCAATGCCCAGCGAATCGGGTCAGAACAGAACCACGTGCTATGGGTCAGCGGCACCAGCGATACTCACAGTGCGTGGGCGGAGTGCTGCAGGCGGGCAGTGGCTGCAGGTCCCCGGCCTGGCCCACCTCGGGTGTGGCCTGCACCTGGTCCCCGTGGCCTTCTCCTGGCCCTGGGCACATGTGGTGGTCCACGGGGCTCTTCCTCTGACTCTTCATGTGCTGCTCCACTTCCGCCAGCAGGACGGCTTGCATGGCTTCAGGTACCTGGAAGTTGTTTTGTTTTTATTAAAGGCATTGCAGTGTTTGCAATGTGATGACAAATGCTTAGCGCTCGTGTCAAAAACCTGAAACTCAGAACCTGGTTTGAACCAGCTTTCTAGGAATTATATTTCTGTTCTGCTTGAAGCGGCTTCCCGACCAACCAGTGGGCTGTGGAGAGAAACTCCAGCAATGGCACTGCTGCTGCACATAAGCTGTTCTAACCTGGACCCTTGGGGTAGGACACTCCCCAGCTTAGTTACACTCACCCCATCAAAAGGTAAAGATGATGACATGGTTTTTAAAGACAAGGTTAGCACCTCGACATAAGTCTGGTTTTGAAGTGTTACTTAGCTACAGACACTGAATTTAAACTACTTTTAATGCAAATAGTTAAGGAAAGAATTTGGCCAATGTAAGATGTGCAGCAGCTCTGTGGTCACTAAGGTTATACCACTGGCACGCTGAGCCGTGCAGTGCCTCACTTTACAGCCAAGGGACAGATGGGCGCATGGACAGACAGGTGCATAGGCTCCTGACCCTCGACTCCAGCTCACTTTTGAGGGGCCTGAGCTCCTCTGCAGCTCTGGTCCTCACCTGGGAGCCAGACTTGGGCACTGAAAAGCACAGGGTGGATGCTGCACCGAGCAGCTTGGTCCCCACCTGCCCACACAGGCCCTGGACCCCGGACCGTGAAGTCCAGGACTGGCGTGGTCATCACAGTGGGGGGCTGGCCTCATGCTCCCCAGAGGATGGGGCTTCCCTTACACTGACATGTGATATCCTGTAACAATGTAAATATAGACATTTATGCAATTTCATTTAACATTTTTAGTTACTAAATCTACATGCCATGACTTTACATTTTTTAACTGTTGACTTCCTTACAGTTATCATTACTAGCACAAATTACTGTAATCAGGTATCATTGAGAACTAAGTAACTTGAGCTAAAATCGATTCATTGTGACAAGCAGGACATGTAGAGCCACAAAGGTGAAAGTGAGCACTGAGCAGTGCACACCCAACTGGGAAGTAAAGAAAGAGCTCTAGGCTCAGGAGCAAGCAAGTCACTGGTGACACCCTACCTGGTGAGAAGAGTGGAATAATCCCAGTATGACATCTGTATGCAGAAGGCACTCAATAAATGCTCTTCCGCACCCGCTAACCATAGAAAGTGTGGCAGGTATAATTTACTGATAGCTTTGCATCGTCCATGCTTATGCCTAATTTGTAAACACAGCAGATACATTTTGAGAATCAGGATAAAATTTTTTCCAGCGAAATGTAAAACTTAACTTTGTGGTTTTAACAGTGACCTAGACTTGGGTACTGTGGGTATTATGCTGTCTCCTAAATGCATAGACACGTGTCTGAAAAGATTACATTATACTTTATGCAGGCTGCACAGAGAAGCAGGCAAGTCTCCAAAGCCACTGGCTGGGAGGGGCAGACATTACCTGTGCCCCGGGTGCTGCACTGGCCCTCTGGGGCCCCAGCACTTCCACGCAGCCCAGGGTGACTTGGGTGCCTTTGACAAAGCACCTAGCCAGGCCTCAGCTCTGGCTGGCCTCTCCCGCCCACGGTGGGGTGTGATGTGCACCACGAGGCTGATTATAAAACCTGGAGAACTCGAGTACGGTGCCCGACACAAGCACACGACAGACGTCTGCTCCCTTCCCAGGACCCATCTGTGTGCTAAGCGTTTCCTGTAACCGGAAGCGAAAGACTCAACATCTGGACAAACTGGCCAGCAGCAAATTAGCTCCTCCTCTCCTCGACCTTAAAGGGGAACACTCCTCACCACTGAGGGCTCCCAAAATACATGGAAAGCAAATTTAAGCTCAAGTGATTCAGTGCCTGCCTAAGCCAACTGTGTCAGGGAGAATTTCAGAGCAAAAATAAGTAAATAAGAAAAATTTTACAGCTAAGTAGTTGTAGTGGAACAGACCTGTGATCCTGGCACTCTGGGAGGCTGAGGCAGGGAGATTGCAAGTACCAAGCCATCCTGGGCACCTAGTAACTTTGCTAGACTCTATCTCAAGATGAAACATAAAAATGGCTGAGGATTTAGTTTAGTGGGAAGGCCCTGGGTTCAACCCTCATTACCAGGAGGGAAAACAAACAAACAAACAAACAAACAAACACCCCCAGAAAAACCTAGGCCTAGTTACTGAGGCATTTAAACAATTACTTGCAAGAATCTTGCTCTTGGGGGCTTTGGAAAGCCTCCGTTCCACTTTATATATGAGGAAGATCTAAAAAAAAACCACTCAACAACAAGTGAAATCTACTGTCCAGCATCACGCACAGGGTGGGTGGCCGAAGCGGGAGGATTCCTGTGTGGTTAGTAAGTGCTCTGTGAACGTCTCTTCTGTTGCCAGCGTGTTAGATGGGGTCACTGAATCAAAGACCCTTAAAGGTCCATTAGTCCAAACATGCCCAGACCACATCAAAATGTAGCAGAAAGTTAAGTGACCTGGAAAAGACCTTTGGATTTTGTTGAGTCCTTTTTCTTAAGGAATTTTCCCACTTGAGAATTCTATAGCTATTGGGGGAAAGAAAATCTCACCTTTAAAAATAAACCCTTTGGAGGCAAAGGCTCATCTCTGGAAACTCAGTCCGCCTGTCCTGGTGTTCACTGGGTTGCTACAGAGAATGTCTCACAGTCATCCATTCATTCACTCATTCATGCCACAGTTTGTGGCTGGCTACTGTCACCCCTGGTTTGTGCATTTATCGTGCTATGCATGAGGCCACAGAGGGCTCCAGAGCCTGAAGAAGCTTTAGAAGAGGAAGAAGGACTCGGAAGAAACCTGCTCTCCAGCTCCCAGATCAGAAATTCTCTGGATGGAAAATGTTTTCTGATTTCACATAAACAAATTCCCAATCAAGGCACATTTTGAAGTGCAAAACCAGACAACTTAGTCTCCAGCTGAAACCCTATCGGGCAAGAAGCCACAGCCCCACAAACCCACACCTGTGTGACAGTTCATGTCCCCCTATCCCTGTCATGACTTCTGGTCACCAGCAGGAGTCTGGGGAGCCTCCCTGAGGAGGACACAGGCCCTGCTCATGTGCACCCCCAGAGGGAGGGTTCCCACGAACCTTGGCACCAAGGAATTTTCACAAAGGAATAAGCCCATACCTGCACAGACTGGTCTCGCCAAGAAGAGATCAGCTTCACGAGAGAAATGTCAGCCTTGGGAGGCGGAGAGTCGGTCTTACCTAGGAAAGCACAGGACACATTTGCAGCTCCAGTGCTCAGACTGAGGACACCAGTGGTCCTTCAATTGGGCTGCACATCAGAACCACCAGGGGCCCATGTTTCACAACACAGGACCACACCCCAGGAGCTGGGGCTGGGGCGAGGCGGAGTCTATCATGTTCTGTCACAGCCCCAGGTGATTTTCACTGCAGCCAGGGTCAAGGAACACAAGACAATTACACTAACGCAACTTTGGGCAAAGATGGAAAGAAAGTAGCAGCTCACTGACAGCACTCAGTCACAGCTTCTTCCTACAGATGGCATTTAGAAGGGGCAGCCTGGGTACAGCACTTACCCTGCTGTAGGGTGCGGACTTAGGAAATAACACGAAAAGCGAATCCCCCATTTCCTTTACCTCCCATCTCCATTATTAAAATCCAACATGCAACCCTGTCTGCCGAGGCTTTACCTGCAGTCAGAGGGTTGCAAAGGGAGCCTAACTAGATTTTGGAGTACTTGGGTGGTTAGAGGACAGGCAGGGCTCCTGGCCAGGGCCAGGGAGCGGCTCCTGTTCTGCAGATACATCTGTGTCGAGCCTCATATTCCTGTCCTCCTCCTGGTGTTACTAAAAGGCCAAACCCGTGTAACCAACTCCACCAAATCCACACGCAGGGAGAAGGCGATGCCCAGAAGGCCCTGCAGGAGCGACCCTCGGAAGGCAACAGAGTGGAAGGTCAGTGTGGGGCTCAAGTGGGAATGTGGGCCCTTTGTGGCATGCAGTGTGGCCACGCTTGTGTCCTCCAAGCCCAGCAAGCCTGGTTCCGTTTACAAGGCAGGACCCTTCCAATGCACAGGGTTCCTTGTGGTGTGTAGTGGGGTGGCGTCTAGAAGCCCCAGGGCATGAGCCCCCACATGCCAGGCATGCAACTATCAAAGCATTCAGGGACTTCCACTGGAGATGGCGCAGGCTTCTTTCCAGTCTTCCTCCAGGGGCTTCTGTGCACCCCACTAACCAGGCCACAATCTGCACATGTATCACAAGCCTGGACCTTTCTTCTTTACAGTCGTGGCAAGGAGGGCTTTGGAAGGGGCAAAGCCACCCGGGGCACATACACACTGAGCAGTGATAGATCCCGGCCCTCAGAATGCTGCATGTACCTGCTCAGTGCTGTGCATCCACTATGTGACTCACTTATTCATTTTATTCACAAGCCTAGTCAAGAAATGTTTGCTGAATTTCTTCCAGGCCTTGTTCTAGGAAGCCACAGCAGTGACTAAAACTGTCAAAGATAGAACCTCATGGAGCCTGAATTTCAGGTGGAAGAGACAGATGACAAAAAGGATGATGTTTATTTATCAGAGGGAGAAAAGGATCTGGGAGAAGAGCAAGGAAGGGGGAGGTGCTGGGAGCAATGGGGGTGGGGATGTTCGGGGGGGGGTTTGAGAGACCTTGGAGGAAGAAGTGGAGGACAAGGGTGGACGAGAGGCGGGTGGGGCAGGCAGGGGTGGGGAAGGAGGTCCCTCAGGCACAGCCAGAGAAGAGCTGCCAGTCCTGTGGGTCAAGAAGGAGTGGCCGGCATGGCCCTTAGGGAGCAACGGCTCCAAGTCCTGGTGGGAAAGAGTCCCAAGGCAGGGTGAAGGTAGAAGGAGGATGTGACTCAGTTTCCAACAGAGCACTCTGGCTGCTGGTTGGGAAGTGTGAGAGCCGGGACAGGGAGGTGGGATGCACGGAGAAGCCCGATGGGCATCCAAGGGCACTGGAGGTGCCCACCTGAGAGGGAGGAGGTGCCCTGTGCTGCAGAGGGGGAACCAGTATGGTTGCTAGGCGACTGAGTGTGGGATAGAAGTGGAAGAGAAGGTAAGAAACGGTGACAGTTTCCAGGGTGAGCAAAGGGAATGAAGAAAGGACTGTCACTGGCACAGACAGGCGGGGTATGTACTGTCCATGGGCATGGAAAGAGACCTCAACACGAGCTGCTCGCTGAGACCCGGGGGCTGCTGCTCAGAAAAGCAGCTTTCTGGAAGGAGGGGAATGATCTAATGCAATAATCCAGGGTTTGATACTAAAGACAGCAGGGAAACAAACAGTAATAAATTACACATGGTCTTAATCTACTTTCTTTGCTGAGGTTTCAGGTTTTTAGACACTTAAACAAAATTCTATGATGAAATTTGTTTTATGTGATATTACTGCTTTTAGCATTGCTTTCCAGTTATAGAAGTATTAATATTAATTATTTTATTTCATAAGAAACAGTAAATCAGATCATATCTGTGTCTATAAATTCCTTACCATTTCTTAAGTGACCATAGAAGCTTGAAAGATTCAAAATATCATTCACCGGACTCTTCACCTTATGCATGGATTCTACCTTGAAGGATCTGTTGGAAAAGAAAGAGCTACAGGAAATTAATTGGGGAGTATGAAAATTACATTGAGAAAATAAATTGAAGACATAGGTACATAGCCGTGTTGACAAAGCTGGAAACCAATTCCCATATCAGCCTCTTCTGACTTAGTCCCGAGACATGCCCCACTTAAATCTTAATCCCAACTAACCTGCAAAATTTCCTTTGCCAGGTATTCTGTGCCCTGTCTCGTAAGACGTGACTTCTGGCACCATTGGGCTTCTCCAGGCCTCAGGGCTCTGCAGCTGCCCTCAGGACCATGCCAGAGGCCACCTGCTTCTGGTCCTGCTGCCATGCCTACAGTGGTGACTTCAAAGCCCCTGCCACCCAGTAACAGGTCATTGGCATGACCACGTCCATTGGAAGGATTTGTTATGATGCGTCTCATATATACTATCTGATTTAAAAGAATCAGTGGAGCTAAACAGTAGCTCAGATTCGGAGTCAATGCTTTAGATGCTAGGCTCCAACCTTACTCTGCCATCTGTTTTAATGGAGGGTTGTTCTTTCTTTCTTTCTTTCTTTCTTTCTTTCTTTCTTTCTTTCTTTTCTAAGAATTGACTAATGCATGGTGACAGTTTAAAGGTCCTTCAGGGGAAGGTGTGCTGAGCTCTGTGGGTCCGGGCAGGGACTCAGACATAGCCGTCTGTCCTGTCCAGGGAAACCTGGGCAGACGTGACTAAGTCTTAGGTTGGCTCCTCAGATCACAGCCAGGAAGGGAAACTGTGCTAGCAGCCGAGGTTCAGAACTAGGAGAAACCCTGGCCACACCCAGCTCGCACAGAGGAAAGCAAGGCCAAGAGGCCAAGAGACTGCCCCATCACACAGCTAATGTGACGACAAGACGGCAGTGGTCTCAGCCTCTGGGACTGTGGCTTGGTTTCCTCTGACTTTGGTGTTGTGTGAGTTTCTTAATAACAGAAACAAAGGTTGGCTTTTTATTTAAAAAAAATGCCTACCTGAAATTTAAAAAATAGAATTAAGCCTTAAAATGGACAAAAGAAAATAAAAAATGAACAAAGGAAAAGAAAACAAATTAAAACTGTGTATTTGAATCATAAAAATCTACCAATCTGTTTTCTGTTTCTTAGGGCCAGCAAACTGAACAACTCAGGAGCTTCACAGGGACAGAGGGGTGACAATGGGTCCTCCAGAGTGCAGGCCTCCGAGGGCTGCACGCTCCTGTGGGCAGCAGCTCTGTGTACCCACAGCTTGGCACAGGCTCTGGAGCTGAGCTCTCAGCAGCGATGTGAGGGCCAGGGCCATCGGTCCCCACCACACCAGGGTAACTCACGCTGACGCAGGCTTCTTGCAGGGTCACCCCACCCTGATGTCCTCATTACTCTGCTTGCTTATACTACTCATGCTTCTCCTATTCCCTTTTCTATTTTAGTGTTTTCTGTGTAGCATTTTATCTTTGAATGACTCATCACCTATAGCATAACTGTTAAAACAAGTCTTCTGGCAGGCACGGTGGGCTTGGATTATTAAGTAAGCATGTAGTGAACCAAGTTCAAGCCTTAACATCAGACCACGGGAAACCATAGGGCAGAGGTGGGGGGGAAGGGACCTCACAGAGCTGAAGACAGCAGTTAACCAGGCTCTGGGATTGGACTGCGACTGCTCCTGCATCAGCCTCAGGAGCAGAGGTGGCCTTGCTTGCCTGCTTGCTTCCTGTAAGCTTCAAGGTCCTCATTTGTACAAAGCAAAAGAATGACACCATGTCCCAGCTTTGCTGTGCATGTTAAATGTACGTAGAGATATTACATAGTGATCAGCAAACACTGAACATCAAACAACCAGAGCTATCAATAGCACCAAACTACTTCCCTATGGCACTACCAGAGTCTTTACCAAGGTAAACTCAACGGTATGACTCGGGATATGAAACTTTCAAACATTCTTGCTCCTGATAATGTATAAGATATGCATTATAAGTGCATATTTGAATATTTTTTGTTCACACTTAATTCATACCAAGTATAGAGGAGTTCATGGTGTTTGTGCATCCATGTATGTTTCTATAGACTTATTACCTGTCTTGCACTGTGCCTGATATATACTATGATAACAATGAAAATTTGTCAAAGGTATGAATCTTAAAACATATGAATGCAATGCTAAAATTACCTCTCAACCCTGACATGTGAATGGGAAGATTTTCTTGAATGTGTTTTGAACTAACCTCTACCCCACCAGAAGGAAGGAAGGAAGAGGGGGAGAAAGGAAGACTGCAGAGCTGAAGACAGCACGCGATGCCCCAAATTGTAACTGTCAAAGTCCAGAGGGGGACTTACCTGTCAACCTTACAGGCCAATTCTAAAGGCACGTTTACTAACTTATTAACTAAAAACAGTCTGCTCAGTAAGTACGTGATGACGTTTGACTCCTGTGGCAAACAATCACAGCCATCTTCCGGTCCTCCTGATGTCCCTAATTGGCTTGACAGAGTGGCTGTGTATTTATGTGACAAGTCCAAAACTCTTCTGGAAAATAAATTTGCCCTTGAAGATGCCGTCTTGGTTCCTGGGTTGCATGAGTCCGTGCCGGGCAGCATCAGGGAGAAGCGGTCCTCATGGGAGGCGAGCCCTAAGAAAACAGGTCCCTGTGGCTGGGCGATGTTGAGGTGCCTGATGCAGAGGTGGTCCAGCTCCTTGTCCACGCCCCAGGGCAGCAGGCAGGACAGGAGCAACTTGGCTGTGTCCAGGGTGAGGCCTGGGCTCACTCCGGGTGAGGGCTGAGCTTGTGCCTTCTTGGAGCTCTTGGTCTTCTTCTGCCATTTGACACCGTCATTCTCCTCCACAAAGGTGACGGCGGTGTCCCCTTGGCTCAGGCTGGCACCCGCCGGTGGGGCCTGGGCCTCTGGGGCCGCAGCTCTGCTCCACTTTGTGGTCAGTGTCTTCCTGCCCACTGTGCTCCACGCGCGTCTCAGCAGCTCGCTGCTGTGGAAGGAGCCCGAGGGGTCAGCGCCACCGGGAGGCACGGGCAGCAGCAGTTCAACGAGGTTCTCCAGGTTGAAGAGAAGAATGTGGAAGCCGACCCCACTCCACTTCATCCTCATGGGCAGGACGTCGAAGGGCCGGGGGGTGGACCCGGTGCCCACAACCTGCGGAAGAGAAATGCCTGAGCGTCAAGGCTCTCATTTCGTTGCCTGCTACACGAAAAGGTCCACGGGGTGGTGTGGCTTCCACACAAGATCACAAACAGCGGAGGAAAAGAGTCGGCAGCTTTCTATCTTCCCTGCTAAGACGCCTGTCTAAATTAACCACTGAATATGTGATGCCTTTTGAACACTGCCTCACTCTGCCCCCAGCTTTGTTTCCTGAGAGTCTGAACCAAGTGTCTGGATGGGGAGGGCAGCGGGCTAATGTCCTCTGCTGTAGCTCGTGACTTCCAGACAGTCACACAGACCTGTGAGAGAATGGGCTTGAAAACCAGAGGCTGACGGTTAAAACACTCCACAGACTTCGGGTTACTGTAATAGAACAGCTCCTCCAAATCTGTTTAACAGTTCCAAGACTTAGGGATGGCCTGCACCTCAGCCAGTATCAGACAGATCTCAAAGACGGAAACAGAACTCTTGCCTGGGAGACTCCCGCTGGATTTTGTGCTAAAGACTGGTGCAGTGAGTTCCCAGCATCCGACTCCCTGCTCGGTCAGGAGGCCCCCTGCACACCTGAACCCCCACACTCCTGTCCTCTCCATAGCACTGTGGGTGCCAGACACCTCTGGGACAGTCACTGCTCACTGTGTTTTCCCCACCAGCATTCAAGCTCTGCCTTCGGGGACATCTTCTACATCACTCCTCCCATTTTTATTACTAAAGAACATCTTTTTCACCAATAAAATAACACAAAGGCTATATAATTATTACTAAGTGGCTTTTGCAAGTCAGTAAGAAAGCATACCACACAACCGAAAACTGTCTACAGGGCATCAGCTGCAACTCACAAAGAACAACAATCACATTAAAACATGGGAAGTGCTTCCCATAAGTAGGAATCGAAGAAAAAAAATTAGGATAACTGGGTTTGCTTCCTGCTAACTTAGCTGAGATGTTTTCTTACATTACTTTATTGCATAATGCTTAATTAATGCAAAGTAACATGTAAAACTTTCTTTGGATCATCTGTGTGAAACAGAAATGCTGTAACCAAGAAACCCAGGCAAAGCGTGCTGCTTCCTCATTCATAATCACTCCAAACTGCCACAAATGCCCATGCTTGCTGCGCTAGACAGAATGTCACACTGGGGAAATATTCCTGCTAGACAGAATGTCACAGTGGGGAAATATTGAGTGACATCGAAAAGCCCTTGCTCCCTGCACCCACTGTGCGGTGGCAGGGCCCTCGTCAGCACAGCTCTGGCCAAGGATCTGCAGACTCGCTGTGGATATGCAGTGGAGCCCAGGTCCTGCTGCCTTAGGCTCACCGTGCCCCGCTGGGTGAGAGGCAGACACGCGCCCCAGCAATTCCCTGAGCCACGCATGCCCTGTGCGCTGCGTACTCTATATGCGGTCTCCACTTCATGAGGAAATAATGGAAGCAAGAAGGTAACAATGAATAACCTTGTTAGGAATACTAGCAAAATGCTCCCTTAGATTAAAAAGCAGAATTTTCCGGGCGTGGTGTCGTACACCTTGCAGCACTTGCTGCAAGTTCAAGACCAGTCTGGACTGCAAAGTGATCCCAAGGCCAGCCTGAACTGCATAGAGACCCTGTCTCCAAAACACACACACACACACAAGCAGAATCTGCTTTAATTTCATACTTCTGCTCATTGTCAGAGATAACCACTATTTTGAATTTTATGTTTATGGCTTCATTACCCTTAACAGTTTTGGCTTTCACATGAATGTGCTATGAGACTATTTATAATTTGATTTGCACTATTTGTGTCAAGTACTATGAGGTTCTCATTTGGCAACAGTTACAACTCCTCTCATTTTCATTGTGTTCAGTGCCTGTACTGTGAAGTACACTGTATGCCCAGTGTGACTTATTGGTACTTTCCCGTGGATAGTAAAGTTATTTTTAAGATAACTTGTTATGAAAAGAACAAATGCTACAGGAACTTCTGTGGGTGAGCCCACAGTGGACACTTGCAGAAGTTCCTAGAGTGACGTCACCCCAACGTGTTAGCACAAGCAGGTGCCCTGATTGGTGCTGGTAATAGCAGAGCAACGCATAACCCATTTCCACGGTTTCACATGATTGACCGACAGAGGTGTTCTCGTTACCTATCAAGACAAGGACTATAAACTGTGTCCTTTGTAATTTAAATTTCTTTAAATGTTACTATTGACTATCATAGCAGTATTTCATTGATCTCTGTCATTTGTTCTATAGTGTAACTACTTATGCCTTTTTATAACTTTTTCATATTGACTCCACATTATTTGCAAAGTAATCCTTTGTTGGTTATGTGTTCCAAATGCACATTCCCTATTTGTGACACATTCCCTATAGTGTTTTGTGAGGAACACTGAATTTCTCTTTAATGCTTTCAAAATTCAAGAAGCACTTTGAAGTTTATATCTTTTGTATTTTCTTAAAGAAGTGCTTGCTACCCAGAAGAAATAAAACTGTTTATGGTTTTGTACTTTTTAAAATCCTTAACAACTGTATTTTCCGTTTTGTATTTGATTTGCAATAGGAAGCACTTTTCATGTTCTTCTGTTTTCATGTCCCCTGCTCCCTGTTGCCTGTGAATTTTCCTGTTTCACTGATCTCGATTGCTTGGGGCACAGTCGGCTGATCCATGGCTGCAGAACACTGCACTGTCAGCTGTGAGGCAGGACACCGAGCACCTGTTTGGCAGGGTGCCTACCGTGGTTTCCCTAGGAGCTGCTTCACGTAAATTGGAGACGGTTTGTTGAATCCCAGATTACATCTCCCACTTCTTTTGGCCATACTGAATTTATCCTGATAGGTGTGTGCCAAGCAGAGCTGTGCAGAAGGAGATCTGCAGCACCGGCTGATTAACTGGGCGACTCTGTGGCGCCTACAACTGAGGCCTTCTTCATCTCTTTGTTTTTGTTCTCTCCTTTTCTTGCTGGAAGTTTGTCAGTTTTGATAGTCTTTTCAAAGAAGCAACTCTTAACTTGGTTTAGGCTGTCAGTGGGATAATGTGTTTCCTGAAAGATAGCTTTGCTGAGCACACAACTCGGGCTCCCCTCATTTTCTGTAGAATTCTCAAAGGCGTTATTCGAAGTCTTTCAGCCTCCTTTGATGGGTGGAGGGTCAGCTGCTCTTCTGACTGTCATTCCATCTGTCTCTTCTCTCTGCTGGTTTTCCCTAGGATTCTTTGTCTTTTATATCTTCCAGCAGCATGCTACAGAGTCTTCTAGGTGGGGCTGTTTTCCCCAGTCTCCATTCTATTGCAGTGCAATCCTCATCTGCCATGAATTTTGTGGACTGGCCAGACTCATGCTTCTGACCCTGCCAAGGACCTTGTCAGAGGTTGATAGACACCCTGTGCCCCTCCCCAGGCCAGGGGGAGGCAGGGATGCCGGTCAGTGCTGGACAATCTCTTCAGTACTTTTCTTTCAGCTTGCAAATATTCATTTCACTGTTTTAAATATGCCACTTACCTTATGCTCTGACTTTTTAATTTTTAATTTTATATTTTTAATTTTCTAAATTCTACTTGGTCCTTTTAAAGATAAACTGGTCATTTTTATTAGTCAATTGTTTCCTTTTTTTAGTCAAATATTTCTTAATCACATTTTTAAACTCTTATTTTTTAACATTAATATTCTGGATCTGTAATTCCAATATCTACAATCTTGTGACTATGACTACTATTTATTCTGCTAATATTTTCCTGCTTCATTCTCTGTGTTTCAATTGCATGCATGCACACATGTGCATGTGTGTGTGAAGTGTTGTCACTGAGGGTTCTTTGGGACACGAGGTGAAGTCGAGTTCTTTAAGACTGGATCCCGGGTTGTGACCCAGGTACAGCGGGTGTGACCTACCAGCCAATCACCCCTGAGCAGCACGGGCTCTTAAAAGCGTTCCTTTCGTGAAAGGAATTCTGACTCTGCTTACAGTTCTCTCTTCTTGGATGGAACTGCTCTCCTCAGTCCATCTAGGGCAGAAGGCAATACAGCAGGACATCGCCTTCTTGTGGAACACATGGAGTGTCTTGGTCCACTTCCCCCAGAGCAGGCAGCTGTAAGGGAAATGGTTTGGGCGGTGGCCTCCAGCACGTGCCCAAGGTAAGCGCTGTCTCTGCAGTGCAGGCACCTGTGTGCTGTCCACTCACTGCCGGCGTGCTCAGGGTTAACTAGTGCTCCAGCAGCTCTTGCCCAGCCTGTCTGCAATCCCATCCTGATTTGCTTTTCAATTTCTTGGTAACTCAGTTGTGTTATTTTTTTCAGCTCTGTGTTATTTTAAGACATCTTAAAAGTAGATTTCTCATTATTTTCAGGGAATTGCAGGGGACCCATTATCAGACTATTAGCCCATAAAAAGATAGAAGTTGGATTGGTACAGAGCATAAATATTAAAATACTCAGTTTTGATAATAGAGAAAATGAAACTCCTATCAAGTGGGATAAATATAAATCAGTACTGATTTCATGAGGAGCAATTTGTCAATACATATCAATAATCTTAGAATATTATGCACCAAAAAAGAATATTATATGCATTTTAATGTGGACATTCTTTAAAAATAATGTAAAGGATAATTATAAATATGTGTAAGATCATATAAAAATAATGTTCACTGTAGAATGTTCTATATTAATAAGCTAAAAACCACTTAAATATCCCATAAAATGGGTTTGGCTAAGTATATTATAGCATTTTATGCACAGTGAAATACTGAATAGTTATTTGAAAACAACTCTTTATAAATATATAATCTCATGGCAAGAAATTTGCAGATACTGTTGATGAAATACATTTGGATTTTAAAAAATATAGTTCCTGTTGTACCAAATTACAGGTTTCTTAAATGTTTCCTTTTAATTTCATCTATTTTTAAATTTTCTATAAAAATTTATTTTGCTAGGAGACTTCCAGGAAAATGGAGGAGTGGTGGGCAGCAGAGAAAGAAATGCTCCAAGTTTCGGTGTTCAGATCCTCAAATACGGCAACATGAAGAAGAGGAGGTGGAAGGAGGTGGGTCCCACAGACACAGCAAGGATCAGAACTGAGACTTAATGCCATGGATAGAGACAATTCAGGGATTTGGCAAAAATGAAAGAAGTCAGGGGTGTGGACCTACTGGACAAAAACAGTAAAGAAGCGGCTCCTACCCCCCCCCCCCCCCCGCCCCATGCACTGGCCAAGGTCCTGCTGGCTGCTGGGGAGAAGCTGCAAAGAAACAATGCAGCCCCCACCTGCGGGATCCCCGCACAGGTCCCACAAGAAACATTTAGAAAGCAATACAGCACCTACCTCCTGTGTGCCAGCAGAGGTCCTGCAAGCTTCTGGGGAGAAGCAGCAAAGAAATAACACAGCCCCCACGCTCTGTGCACCGGCAGAGGCCACATCAGCCTGGAGAAGCAGCAAGAAAGCGTCCAGCCTGGAGTGCTGGCAGAGGCCCTGTTGGCCAGGGAGAAACAGCAAAGAAGCCCTCTGCTTCCATGCCCCCACCGTAAGCAATGGGATGGGACACAGGCTGAGATGACACACAATAACTGAAGTAACTGAACTAGGGAAACAACCTGACATTTATGTTTGATTACTTTGCAGATTTCCAGGCCTGGGGCCAGCATCTGGTTAACTATTTAGAAGACAACAATATGTAACATAGTAACGATTGTGGATTTCCTACTGTCCTATTACTTTTTAGTTGTGTTTCATTTTACCATTCTGTTTTACTCCCTTGAAAAAAATTATAGTTCACTTTATTAAGTGGAAGCTTAGTAGTATGGTTAGCTATCTTGCACACACACAAAAGAGAAAGAAACCTTAAAAGAGCAGTAACTAAACTTGCAAAGGGAAGCCTTAATAATACATTAAGGCTCCTTAAGTATGTTTAACCTGTGTCACACTGTAGATCTTAAATATCTCCGACTTGCTCCAGCCTGCTGTGCCACTGGGAAGGGCGGAACTTTTGGGGGTAGAGCCAGGTGGAAGGAAGTGAGGTCATGAGGGTGTGGCTTTGAGGGGAAGTTGGGACCCTGGTCACTTCCATTACATTTCCCTGTACCAACAACACAGACCCTAAAACAGGGATGCCAACCATCCAAGCATGGACGGGAACCTCTGAAACTGTGAGCCAAAATAAATCTTTCCACTATATAAGACTCTGTTTTTACCTTGGGTATTTTTTCACAGTGATGGGAGGCTAACTAATATAACATGTATCATCAATATCATTATGGTAAGAATAATAAGCATGTTAACAAGTGCAGAAGAACAAAATTTATGAGCTAGTAACGTGGGCAGGTCCACACCCTGGGACTGGGGCGCCACACCCACCTTTCGGCAGCACAGTGTATACTCTGAGGAGCTGGGCAAGAGCTGGGAGATGCTTTCTCGGCCTGAAGAAGCAGGGCAATGGTGCACAGGGAAAGCCATGAGGGAAGAGGCGGGCCTCGCCATAACAGAAGAACAGCAGAGCAGAAGAACAGCACAACCGACTTGGTGTCTGCATGGCTGCAAATAAAGGAACCGAGGAACACAGGGACAAGAAAATTGCAGGTGAGGGGGAGCACGGGGTGAAGCTGGAGGGAGTGGGGAGATTAGTGTGGCTGGGGTACAGCTCTGGATGTTAGGGAGAGAGGAACCATACAACAAGGCCTCCTGGGCTCTTCTCAGCTTTAGATTGATTCTAAGAGCAGTTACACCCTTGTTGGGTACTCAGGCAAGGGACGTCACCTTTTCACTGACTACAGAGGATGGGTTACCGGTTAATCCACAGGCCCTGCCCTCTCTGTCCTTCACTCTCCCATGCTGGAATCTCTTCTGACCACAGAATCCGCCCTGCACTCCATCACTGGGACAATCAGAATATTAGCGAAGCCCCTAGCAGTGATGCACTCCCCATTCTCAGCCTCTCATTCTGTAATCCCCCAGCCAGAGGTCCCTTGTACTGCTATGTAAAACCTCAAATGCCTGTCCCACAATATGGTCCCTTATCTCAGAATTAGACAGCTAAGTGAGACAGAAATTAATATGCAGTCAAAGAAGGACTGGGTGCTCAGAGCAGTCAGTGAAAAACATTAGATCTGGTCCAATAAACCCAGACAGGAACCAGTCGCCAGGGGGTGAGTGACCAGCACATGTGGACCCATTCCTTCCCAAAAGGCCTTGGTCCTTTCTTTTTTTTTTTGTCTTTTTCCTTCTTATCGGTACCAGGGATTGAACTCACAACTGCCTGCTCACAAGGCAGGAGCTTATGCTGCTGAGCTAAATCCCCAGCTCCACGCCTTGGTCCTTTCCATGGACCCTTGCTGCAGGCCCGCTTCCCTGTTAGACCACCACCAGCTAATAGCTGTACCTGGTCCCACAGGGCGGTGTAGCTTGAGCATGTGGTGTCCACACTGTGACTTTGCTAGCAGTGTAAATTACCTTTGGCAAAGGGCCACCTCCATGGCTGCCCTCTGGGGACCCCTCCTGGAAATTCAGGAGCTGTTCTCTCCTCCTCCTCATTTCCAGTAAAACTCTCCTAACTTCCTCCTTCCTGGACTTCACTCCTTCAGGTAGGACCACAAACCCCGCGGGTACAGTTGACATCTAAGAGGTTGGGAGTTACATTTCTCCTACATTGTAGGAGAAGAACTGGAATTCTAAACCCATCTAACACAGAAAAGGTGATTTCATTTGCACGTAATTTCATTAACTTCTAAATACAAACTAATTGCTGCATTTTAATGTTCTAGGATTAAATATTTCTAGCACGTCATCACTTTTTTACATTTTAGAAATTATACTTTTTTTTAAAGTCTTGTTACCAAAAGCTCTCAAAAATATAATTACCATTATTTTGGGTATAACAAATGCCTATAGTAATAAGTCCTCAGTTGTAATGTTACAAATTGGGCTTGTACTATATATACTAGTGTGTAACAAAGTCTAGTCTATCTTCATTTTCTATGCTACCTACAAGACTGGTTTCTCATACAAAAATAGTATTAACAGTAACATGTTAAACTACGACCGAATGATCTCACACATTATGAATATTTTAATTTCAGAATGATAAAGCATGTTAAAACCATCATTCTAACAAAAACTGTTTTGGAAACTCCAAGCTAGTTAAACAAAAGTCTGGAACAAGTAGTTAAATGCACAAAGCATCATTCCTCCTGTAGGGCTCTGCAGAAATGGGGCAGGTCAGCCTGAATCGTAGCTTCCTGGGCGGCAAGCTGTCCTCTGCCTGCTGCTGACAGCTAACCCACCTGAGGTCTCTGGCCTGGCACACAGAAAGGGGCACTGCCATTCTCCCCAGCACAGGTCCCCCATCTGAAGCTAAGCTGGACGGAGAGGCGGTGCAGTTTCCAGGCAGGGCGGCCAGAGCATAGCTGGCATGGGGAAGACCCTGCCAACTAAGGGGGTGGGGGGCTGTGCTGCATCTCCATGTGAAAGTCTAAGCTGCAGGCGAGGAGTCTCAGGCCAGGCTGTGTTCTTTGTGTTGAACAGCAGAGTTTGGGAAAAGCTACTGACTCAGAAAGTCTGCTGGTGGAGTCCCAGATGGCCAGCAGGCAGGAATTCCTTCTCTGCTACACACAGGGATCTTCAATAAATGACAAGTAAAGCTAAAGTCTGCAACAAAAGTCAGCCTTGAAACAACCCAATACACAGAGTAAAAGAAAAAATAAAATGATCCTAAAGTCTGGAGGAAAAATGCAGCAATTGTGAAGCATGACACACTCACTCCTAGAGCATTTTATTGATTTCTGGTCTTTTTCCTTCACCTGTGTTCAGTCTGAGCCTCTTCCTTTTCCACCTGGTTCAGAAACACAAAGTGGTGAGACAAGACTGGGTGTGCTCCCTGCCTGTGAAGGTGGAGACGTACTTTCTAACAACATGTTCTGATAAAATGCTTTCAGGACATACTGGATCCCTGCTGGGCTGTTCTAACAGGCAATGGCCTGCCCTGCCTACCACACAAGCTGAGGCCCAGCCTTCCCTGTCTCCTGGTACCCTGCAGGGGGCTTCACACACAGGTGAGAAGGGTAATTTCCCAAGAGCAGTTACTCATCAGGCACTGTGAAGTTACTCATCAGGCACTGTGAACTCGTTCTTTCAATACAGACTAAACCCTGATGAGAACACACAGGGATGGTGGCTGCTAAAACATCTCAGATATGTCACATCATTAGAAAATAAAGAAGCCACAGGTGGTCGATGTGATGCCCTCTGAAGTTAAGAGGAAATGAGAGGCGGTAGTGACAGATTTCTTCAGAGCAGCCAAGGACTCGAAAATGTGTGTTTCTTCAACTATTCTACACAAGGCGTTCTCCACTGTCATTAGCCCGAGAATGGAAAAGTGTTTCCTATTTCTTATGAGTGTGGGTCTGCACTGGCTCAGGACTCATTTTAGAGAACACCTGACGTGATGGCCACAACAGCCACACAAGAGGGCATTCACCGAGGGTGCCGAGCCCACAGTCCTCCCACACTGCCCAAACCGGCACCCCCACAGCGAGGTCATCAGACCCGGTAGGGGACATGGCCTACCTGCTTCGGATGCAGGATGGTGGTCACCAGCCCCAGGCACCGGATAACTGAGAGGATCGAGGTGATGCTTCACCCAGAGGACAAAGATGAGACCATGAAGAAGCGAGGATCCCTCTGACATGGTTGTGAAGCCCAACCTGAGCTCTGCACCCTACAGCAGGGAGACAGCTCCTCTCTGGGAATCGCATCTCTTTTTGTGCTCAGTCTTTTCCAAGGCATGATCAACACTTTGATTACACATTTTAACAAAATAAGTATAAATTAGGGGGCTCTGCACCTCGAAGTTAGCTCTCAGATATACAAAACGTAGTCATCTGGAAATCTCCTGGCTGGAGTACTCAGAAAAATACACAAAGATTCTCAGAAATGTGTTCCTTCCAGAAAGCAAAAACTGACACAAATCAACTTTTTCAGAACTCCAAAAATAACCTATTATTTGTCACAACCAATAATCGTTCCTGCCTTCCTTTCTTTTCTCTGAAAAAAATGACTGGTTCCAGTGAGTTTAAGGGCTTCTAATATGCTGTATTTTCACTGTCTCTGAAAAGCAGGGGCAAGCAATCAGGGCATCTGTGACGGCAGCTGCCTGTGCCTTAGAGGGTGCACACGTGTCTGGAGCCTACAAAGTCTCCTGCCTGGAGTGGTCAAGGTCTAACCTGACTCTCAGTTCCTACAAAACACTGCACTGACTGAGTTCATTATTGAAAGTAATTAATTAATGGATCTAAGTAACTAATGCCCATGTCACTAATGAAACAAGGGGACATTCCACTGATCTTACTAGATAAAAGTTTAAAGACTATACAGGAATACTTCAGTGATTACATGCCAACAAATCAGGAAATCAGGGTGAAATGGGCACAGTTCTAGGAAGACACAAACTGGCGTAAGATGCATGTGAAGTCTGAACAGATGGACACCAGCAAAGACACCGAAGTGGTAACTTCATCTTTTCACATGGAAACACGGGGCAGGTGGCTTCACTATTAAACTCTACTGAATATTTCCAGAGGACTTAGGACGAGTTCTCAATAGCACATCAAATAAAAAAAGAAAGAAAGGAGAGGAAAGAGAAAAGGAACAGAAGCGTTGGCAGCACTGCCCAGCTCCGTCTGTGGAGCCGTATTACCAGGATACTAAGCAGGAAAAATCATCACAAGATGGGAAAACTACAGACCAGGAATTCTTCTGACTATTGACACAAAATTCTCAAACACACTAGGAAACCAAATCCAGCAATATAAAAAATAATTTTACATCAAAACCAAGTGGATTTCCCACCAATACAAAGTTGGTCAAACATACAAAATCAATTATTGTAATGCACCCTGCCAAGAAAGCACAAACACATGGTATCTTAGTAGTGCAGAAAAAAATTGTAAAAGAAAATTGACAGTGTTGCATGATACACACACACACACACTCTGTCAATGCAGAATATACTGCATTGGATTTTCTAGGTCTGTTTGCAGGAGTAACCAGCCCTCTGTCATTCTAAGATTCCATGGGTTTATGCACCCTGGATCCATTTTAACGCACGAACTAGCAATGACTGCATATTACTACACAATCTCAAGCTGCTTCTCAGAAAGAGAGAACCAGAATG